AAAAATAAAAATATTTATTAAATGTAGGCAAAAGCTAAGAAAATTCCTGTAAAATACTTACATTTATTTATTTATTTATTTATTTATTTATTTATTTATTTGGTGCAGGGTCTCTCTACGCAGCTTGGACTCATAATGGTCCTCCTGTCTCAGTCTCCCCAGTGCTAGGATTACAGACATGTGCCCCCATGACCAGTTTTGGGGCCGGCACTGCACATGCAGCACATATGTGGTACCAGTGATGGAACCCAGGTCCCTGTGCTTGCCAGGCAGGTGCTTAGACCACTGAGCTACCTCCCCAGCCCCCTTTGCCCCTTTTTAAGCACCTAAACTCAAACTTCTCTAGACTATGGAGTGGAGGAGGGCGTCGGTGAGGACACCTCACATTGCATGCACAACATAAATGTTTCTGCAGCATTCAGTGCTGTAAGTTTCGCTCTGAGCATGACTTTCATTGCATCCTGCAACTTTAATATATTGATTTAATATATTAAATTCAATTTAATTTATTGAATTTCAGTTCCACTCTAATATTTTCAAATTTGCTTTTGAAACTTCTTTTTTGACTTGGAGATTAACAGTGTGTCAGGTAATTTCCAAGCATTTGGGGGGTTTCCAGATAATTTCTGCACACCTGTCTTCTAGTATGTGTGGGAAACTGGGTTCAGGACTCCTGAGAATTCCAAAATTTGAGGGTACTCAGTCCCTTCCTCAATGGCACAGTATTTACATACAACAATGTATCCGTATCCCCTAGGATATTTCTTTCTTTTCTTTTCCTTTCTTTTCTATTCTTTTCTTTTTTTGTAGTACTGGGGATTGAACTCAGGACCCTGCACTTGCCAGGCAAGCACTTATTCTACTGAACTATCTCCCCAACCCTTCTCTAGGATATTTCAAATCCTCTTGATTATGTATGATACAAATAAATGCCCTGTGAGTAGTTGTTACCCTGTAGTGTGGAGAAGAAAGTCAACACAAGTCTGACGGGTCACAGCTGATTCTTCTTCCTGAATACTTTCAATTTGTGTTTAGTTGAGACCATGGCTTTAGAACCTCTGGCCCAGAGGGTCCCTGGCCTGGAACAGGGCCTAGCAAACAGGAAATGTTCCGCCAACACCTGTCGCTACTAAACGCCTCTCCTCCCACCCAGATCCTCCTGGGGCGATCCCTGCACCCTGCTGTCTCCTGCCACACCCCTGGCTCTCCTGTCCTCCCTCCTGCTCTACAGCTCACATGGCCCACTGTGGACAGCACAAGAGTCTACTGCAAACATCAGGCACCTGCTCCTGGGGGTGAACTTTCGAGGCCCAGGAGCTGCTCTCTTCTGTCCCTCGGGCCACATGTGAGTCCACAGTGGGCATCGGACATCCATGAATTTATGCACACTCTGCCCACCTGCCCCCAGCTTCCAGAGCATGTGCCGTACCCTCAGCCTTCTCCTGCTTCCCAAAATGAAGAACACATTGAAGATCAAAATACACATCTATGTCCAATAGCTGCCTATTTCTGTGTTCTACCTACCACCTATCAATCTGTATAGCATCTATTTATCTATCCATCTATCATCTCCATCGATTTATCTGTCATCTATTATCTGTCTAGCTATCTATTATCTCTCTACATGAGCACACGAGTTTTCAACAAAGTAAACCAATTGGAGTGGAAAATCAAGACAAATGGTTTTGCATGCTGAACAAGCCACAGGCACAACCAACCAACTCCTTTAGGTTTTCCTTCTCCATTGGGTAAGTATTAAAGCAGAGAAGCAAAGCTTTAAAAGTGCTGTCCTTGCTAGGATGGAGCGAGAAATACTAAAACCCCAGGAATAGCAAGCCTGAGTGAGCACTTTCCTTAGGAGGAGTGTCCCTCTGTGAAGAAAGCACACCTTTATTGTTATCAACATTAGCATTTCCTTCAGGAATGCACTCGAGGAACCTCCCTCAGGCTGATGACAGTCCTGTGGATTCTCGCATATTTTTAATATGTTAATATTTGTGCAGATATCTAAATGCTCATCAGAAAGTGTCTGCTGGATGTGAGATTCGCTGCAAGGTCTTTGAGCTATGTAATATACAAAGAGGCACGTTTGACTGTATCACAATTTTTAAATATCTGTGACTGGTTTTCTTTGCTCTCTCAGGTTTTATTTTATGCCTTCATGTAACTCAGGTATTTATAGCCCGCATCGGAGAGCTAAAGGGCTTCGCTGTGGCAAAAAAGACTTAAGTGAGCTCATGTCGATCTATTCTACATAAAGCCAAAACTGTATTGTTGCACAAAGCATAGATTAAGCTGAAAATGTTTCCCTGGTGCCAGAGAACGAATCATTACAAAATTGTGCTTTTTGATTGTGCCTGGAACGCACTTCTCCGGGCGCCATCTCCGTAATGTTCCTCTTTGCCCTCTTAAAATCTAAGCTAGTGTGTGTGTGTTCCTTAGTGCACATACTACACGGACGCTGACAGAACCCGCAAGTGTGACACAAGGGACGTGTGGTAACTCCAGACCTGTCAGATGCCTAAGATACCAAGCTTGTGTTCTCTAAAAATCAAAGAATGAATAGTAGGAACAACAGGGGGCAAAAGTAGGAAACATTTATTGACAGATAGAAAGCTCCTGTTGGAGAGTCGCCTCGCCCAGGGAGCACCCTCCACAGGGATACTCTGCTCAACCAGTGAGGATGCAAGTAGCGCTGCTTGGGTAACATGGATCCAGTGGGGCAGCAAGTCACAAGGGAGCAGACACGGAGAGATCAGAGGACTTCTCAGGTAGGTGAGGAGTCTGGGGTCCTGGTGGCCCCTGGGGTGACTGATGCCGGTGCAATCACTAACCTCACCCCTTGGGAAGGATGCAGGTCAGGTCCTTTAGTTATCTTGCAGCCCAGCTTCCAACTCATGCATCTCCAGCCACGGCTGGCCACAGAGCCACAGCTTTAGTGGGCTTTCCACCTTTGGTCTTGACTTCAAGGGCCCAGCCTGTGTGCCTATGATATTTCTACCTAACTTAGCTGTCTGTAATAGACACATTTCTACTTATTTTTCCATTGGTAGTTAACAAGGCATGAAGCCCATTCTGTCCACCCCAATACCCAATGCCATCTCAGGCTCTGGAAGGCATTTGTGTCACAAGGAGGATCAATTCCTTCACACGATTGGTTGCACCAGACCCTGGGGGCTCCAGAGATGCCTGTAGGCAAAGTTGCTGTCATCAGACCTCAGTGTGTGGCCTGTAGGTGACAGGCAGGGACTGCAGATGGAGAAGAGGAAGGAATCTTGAGTGCCATGGATGGGGAGGACAGAGATAGAAGCGGGCAGGAAGTGGGCGTTGGGACACTTGGCCATAAATGAACGAGTGGGGGGGGAGGTGAAGGGAAAAGCAGGGGTCTTACTTGGCCGCAGCACTGGGTGTGGTCGGCAGGCCCAGCAGTTGGAGTCTGGTGACAGCACGACAGGAGGTGAGGGGGAGCCAGCGAAGAGCCTGAGTAAGGTGACATGTGACAGTCACTTGCTGATAAGTGTCTCAGAGGGGGTGGGAGGAGGTGGGAATGGGAAGATTAGGACACAGTTCCTGACTGGGCACAACACTCTCAAGGAAGAACAAAGCAGGAATTTACCAGGCCTCAAATTAACTTTTTAGCCTGGAAACTAGAACACAATTATTTGTCAACTAAATATTTTCCCCTGAATATGCAGTCCTAAAACACATCCACAAGCACCATTATGTACAGTGTTATCAGTAAAATAAAAATTGCTATCAAGAAATGACAGTAGCCTTTGACTGAACTTCCTAGGATGAGGCAGGGAGTGGGGTACTTACATGTGGTCTGAAGCTGTGGGGACTGACGCTGCTACCTGCGCAGGCACAGGATCCTGGCTTTGCAATCCGGTTAAGAGGATGTCCACCAGTCAGGCCAAATCCCATGACTGATGCCCTTATAAGGACAGAGAGACCTGGACACCGGCAGGAGGCCACATAACCTGGGTTTCAGACTTCTGGCCTCTAGGACTTCGAGAGACTCTATTTCCAGTGTTCTAAGCCACCCCAGTGAAGGCCACCTGCGTTAAAATCCCTGCCCTCCCTCCTAGCTCTGTGAAGTTGAGGCCCCAGAAAGCCATGCTCTCAACTCCAAAATGAATGCCGAACTGACGCCAGCTTGTGTCCTGGTACTTAGAGCAAACCTGAGGCAAGCAGCTTGTAGCTTACAAAGGGAAAAGGCTGGGGTGGCTCAGCTTTGCAGGCTTCAGCTGATGATGGATGGGGCCTATGGCCATCCAGTCCTACGTGGCAGGACTGTGTGGCAAAGGAGACCCAAAGGAGAAAGGGACAGTGTTCCACAGCACCCTGCAAGATCTCACCACCAAGACCCAGCTTCCTCCCCTCGGGCCACCTATCGCAAAGGTTCTCAGCTCCCAGCAGCACCAACCCAAGACAGCAAAACTCACAGTCGGAGGTCAGTTTGTGGGGGCTCTCGTTCGGGCAGGGAGCATGCAAAGGGATCAGCCTGTCCTTGTCCCCGTGCCCTGTGTCAGCACTGCACACACACAGGTCCCAGGTCATACTGTCATTGGTCTAGTGGCTTCCTTCTTAGCCTCTGGACCTGAGATTAAGGACCTTTTCTCAAGTGCATTTTCCATGAGCCCCGTTCCCCAGCTGGGGCTGGTCTCCAGAAGTAGCTCCTGCACCCCAATTTCCTCTCCTAGCAGGTATATGCCCAGGCAGGGTCTCTGCTGCTGATGGCAATGAGCACCTTAAGGACAACATCCAGTGCACAGAGACCACCCATGGGTGAGGATCACTAGTTCGTGGCACATGAGCCCAAGAACAGGGTGACCCAGCTGCTGTCCTGTGACCTCGTCACTCGTGCTCCCAGAGTAGAGAGTCACACTCGCCACACTGGACGCCTGCTCCTGGGAAACAGCCACTTGTGTACGTGCAGAGGCTCCCACTAGGTTTCCTTTAAAGTCTGGGTATAGAAAACACACACTCACACACACTTGACAGGTTAAAATATCCCAATAAAATTTACTGCAACTTCTGTAGAATTCAATCTGTGTAACAAGACATGTTGCATAGGAAACTATTTTAAAGCCCCTGAGGAACGATATCCATGGTTTAAGGTGCAATAGGTTTCTTTTGTGAGGAAGAGGTGAGGAGGGTCTCTGGGCTGAAGAGAGGAGAGGGGAAGCGGGGTCTCGAGTGGCGCGGGACGTGTGACCGGTTCCTGCAGCATAAGGTGTGTAGGGCTTTGCTTTTCCTCAGTTGGCCTTCGGTGTCTGAATCAGCTCACAAAGGATTACACATGCACTGATCAGCCTATGTCATCCTCGGGCTGCAAAGGAGCAGTTGAAGGGCGCATGATTTGGGGATCCCCAAGGACCCACCACCCCTGCAGACAAACATGTGATCCTGCCCATTACTGGGGTCGCCTTGTTCTGATCTGCTGGCCACCAGTCCACCCTGGGGCTCCCTTTCTCGGATGCCACAGCAACTGGGCCACTGTGGACTCAACAGCAGATTCAAGCTGACAGCACGCCCCTGCGCAGGGTCTAAGGCAGCTGACTCATGGTGAAACACGGGCAGCACCTGCACTGGCAGAAGGGGCCCAGACAGCACAGACACCTCTCCTGCCTGCAGCAAGTGGTCTCCCTTGGGCACCTCATGTGGACTTGGTGGAGGGAGTGGAAGTCTGGGACACAGAGGGCCCCTTGAACGTGGCATAGGGCATCAGCCACACTGTCTGCATTGGCAAGAGAAGGGTGGGGTGCTTCCCTCCTGCCTTGGCATGGGTGCAGCTGCAGCCCTCCTGGCCCCAGCAGGCACCCAGCACCCTAGCGCTGCAGGGTGGCTCCCGTGCCCAACACAGGTGCGGCCCAGCTGCGTTCTCACCTAGCAGGGGACATGGGCTCACTGCATGGGTGCTGTTGCTGTGAATTTAGCTGCCCACAAACTCTCACCATAGCTTCCACGGTCTGTGGACGGCCAGGGAGACAGCAGGAGGCAAAGGGAGGAAGGTGAGAGGGCAGGGGAGGCCGGGGACCAGTGACTCTGCTGCGTGTGCTGTGCCCAATGACAGGAGGCAGCCTTCCCGCTGAATGTGGAAGTGCACAGCACTCTGAGAGTCAGAAACACCCCGTGGCCTTTAAATACCTATATACACAGTCACATAATTTAAAAAAGTCTTTAAACAACATAAAACTCAACAGCATCTGCCTACTAAGTTTGCTTTTTTAACCTTCACGGTCCATTATAAAATTAGGTATCATCTTTCACACGTTACCTCCATCTTTTTCTCTTTTTTTAAAAAAAGTGATCTTAAATTTAAATGTACATATCAACAAATAGAAAGCTATTGATTGGCAACAACCTGCAGTAAACTCCCTCGGGCTGGGCAGGCACAGTAACTGGGTCCCAGGTCCCGGGCCCCAAGGTGGCTGGGGTGCGTGGCACGTCCTGTCAGGGCTACTGTGCAGCCACCTGACCTCGGCAGGGGTGCTCAGGCTCAGCCAGCCCTGGGCTCAGATCCTGGGTGCAGCAGGACAGGCCACACACTCAGATCACGAAGTCGTCGTGGTCCACCGGGCTGAAGGCGGCCGCCCGCAGGACGTCCAGCGAGTTGACAAGGATGAGCGTGCCCGTGAGGTGCTTCCAGCGCTTGGTGATGGGGCTCTTCATCTTGTCCAGGCCGGCGTGCAGCTCCTGGATGACGTCACGGTAGCTGTCCCCCACCTGGTGGCTCCAGGTAAGTAAGAAGTCATAGGCAGGTTTCCACATGGCCTGGAGGTAGAGCCAAAAAAGAGAGGGAGCAGAGATCAGGTGGGGCGAGACGTGTGTTCCAGCGACATTGCTCATTCAACTACCAGGACACTTTCAGAGTGAGCAAGCTGGGCTTGGGGTGGGCCCCCATAGTCTTCACACCCTGGGAGGCTGAGGCAGGAGGGTGACATGTCCAAGCCCAGCTGGGGCAACTTGGGGAGACACTGTCTTGAAGTTTAAGAAGCGCTTGGGATGCAGCTCTGGGCATAACCCCAGGTCCACCAGGACAGTGGCAGGCGGCACACGGTGCACAGCCGCTCCCTGACCATCCCTGCCAGACTCGAGACGAGGCACCTGTCAAAGGTCACCCTCATTATTCTTGGTACTTGTGTTCCCCAGGTCTTGTGAGCCTGAGCTACCTTCCAGCAGGCACCCTTGTGACAAGGTGGGGGCTGCGCAGGGCTCCCCATGACAGCTTATCCCAAAGTCAGAGGACAGACCAGGGACTGTGTGTACAGGGTATGTATGTGTAGATGTGTGGGGTGTAGGGGGGCCCCAAGCAGTCACTGTTTGCACCTTATTCACTCTCCCCGGGAATTAGCAAGGGAAGGGAGGGCAGTTCCTCCGTCCAGCTCCGGCTGCGGGGGCCCAGCTGTGCTCCACGACCCCTACAGCACTGCATGCCTTCCACTACTGCCCCCTAGGCCTGGGGCTGTGGACCACTCACCTCACTGTCCACCACCCCGTTCCGGTCACGGTGGGGGGACTCATATGCGTCCATCTGCTGCTTGGAGACCTTGGCCAGCTTCTCAGCCAGCTCCCTCCAGCGCTGCGCCACTTCCACAGCTGTGGTCAGCAGCACGAAGTCCTGGATGAGCCTGACCACCAGGCCCTGGCAATCCATCTTCAGCAAGGCCTGAGGAGGAAGAGGCATGGCATGAGGAAGGTTGTCAAGGCGGGGGAGGGGGAGCGGAGGCCCTTCTGGAGTAACCAGCTAAGAGAGGCCGTGGGGGCCAGGGGCCACTCGTGCCTGCGCCTCCGGGAAGCAGCGCCAAGTCCACCATGCCTCATGGTGGAGCTGAGGGAAGATGTGTTTCCTACATGGGTGGCCTGCGAAGGTCCAGGGTGGCAGCAGCAGAGGTGGAGGCTGCCTGGTTGCCTGGGACCCCTGTCACTGGCCACACTAGCGGCAGGCACCACAGGACACCAAGTCTGGGCGAGTTACACTTTAGTCCCTTGAAGCTGAAGTTTGATATTCAAAAGACACCATTTTAAGAAAATCTGATGAGGAGATTGGTACTTCCAAAGAAGAGAAGTCCTGTCCTGTACTCGCTGGCATGCCTGGGGGAGGGGAGGTGGGGTGCCGGGCTCAGGGCCAGGTTTCCATTTTTTGGTGTGGTGTGGGTCCCGCTGTGTCCTAAGGCCACCTCTGTTCCACGAAGGAACACGGGGCAGCCACAGGCTTTGACATTGAATCACTGAGCTGCACCAACATGCATGGGTGCCCGTGTCCGCTGCCTGGCTCCGAAGGTGGCCTGGTTTTCCAGGCAATGAACACGTCAAAGTCACAAGCTTCTGACCCGCGTCACTCCTGGCAGAGGTGATCTAAGCTGCTGCCTCCCCAGGGGAGCTGGGCCTGGACACAAAGGCCCTGAGCACGCGGGCCGCTGTGGCCGCTGCTCGGGCAGGAGGGTTCCACTTGAAGTGGTCCAGCAGAGATCGCAGGGTCTGACTCAGAAATGAGGGCGTCGCCCACTGCACTCCCCTCCCACAGCTGGAAGCTGGCGCTGGCTCAGGTTGTCCCCAAGCTTCATACTTGATCAATGGGGGGCCGCGCATTTTCACAGGCTGAGTGCTGGGTGCTGGCCAGGGCTTGGTGGCAGCAGCAATGGGAAAGTTTCAGGCAGGTGTGGGCTCCGCACCTCCCCTGCAGCTACCATTCTGGTGCACACAGGTATGCACCGGGCACCAGGAAGCACCCAGTCAGTACGGCGCAGTCCTGGTTCCGAGTGGAACCTTTTGGGTGGAACCTCCTGCCCCACAAGAGAACTATGGCAAAGCAGGGCCACCAAGCTTCCTCTCTGCAGGGACAGACTGTGAATACGGTGGCCTACAGGTTGCGTGGTCCTGGGTGACTTCTCCACCCTGCAGACAACATAGCCTGAGAGCAACCAGGCACGACTGTGTCCCAGGAGGGCGCTCACTAGGAGGGGGGACCACAGACTGTGGTGCCACCGTGTAGACCCCAGGGGAGCACAGTGAGCCCTGCATCAGGTTCCACAGATGTTGGCTCACCCACAGGATGTCGGGGCCCCCTTGCAGACGCCCTCCTTGCTCGGGCTAAGAGCACAGCCTGGAGCTTCACCCACTGGGGGCCTCTGGCAGGGATCCTGTGCCTGTCCGAGGCACAGTCATCGGGTAACTGTGGGTACGAGAGCAGAGAACCCCCAGCCATCCCCTCTGGACCACTGTGTTCTCCCCTCTGCTTCCAGAGATCACCAGGCGCCTCCCCTGAGGACACGAGTACCATGAGAGGGGCCAGCAAGGCCTCTCCTCACAAGACTCCTTTGGGTATTAAACCAGGCACAAAAGCAGCCCAGGCAAGGACGGAAGTGGAGGACAGAAAAGCAGTGTGGCCAGGGGGCCACATCTCGTTCCAGCCTGGGACCCTGGCTTGCCCATTCTCCTGGAATTGGCCGAGTATTTCCTGCGGGCAGGGACAAAACACAGTTCACAGGAAGAGCAGGCCCAGGAGATACCCTGCAGAGTGACCCGGGCCCAGCTGGAGGTATCGAGGGCCACAGAAGAGGCCTCTTGGGAAGGGACACTGGGACTGATCTGACGGACACCAGGCCAGCAGTGAGGGGCAGGGAAGCAGATGAGGCCCAGTCCAGGGCTTGGGGGCAGCCCCTGCCATGGTTGGTACCTGACCCCAACCTTCCCCCTCCTCACTCACTAGGCAGGGACCCTGAAAGTGACACATCACTTGGCTGTAGAGTCGACTGTCCAGAGGCAACAGATACTGGAAATGGACACATGGCCTGGCCTGGGACAGCCAGCCTGGGTGGGTGGAGGGTAAAACCTGCCTGCTCTCCGCAGGTTCTCGGTGGGGAACCCAGGCTGCAGAACCAGTTTTGCTTCACTGCAGCAGACCCAACCCTGCCTCAGGGGCTGGCTCCAGCCAAGGGCAAGCTCTCTTCCTCCTCCACGGGGTAGAGGGGGCCAGAAAGGCTTGCAGGAGCCCAACCCTGGAACTCAGGAACCCAGGAAACCCCTTGGAGCGGGTGGGGAGCGGGAAAAGAGTTTATTTGAAAACAAACTGAAAAATAGCAAATACTGCCTCCCGCTCAGCTCGCTGGCTCCCTGCAGGCCCACAGCGGAAGTGCCTGGGCCATTCCCCTCACCTCTCAGCCAGCTCGGGAGCAGGAACAACGAACGCTGTTTGTGTTCCATGAAAACTCCTCATCCTCCATTGATGGAGACCGAGGACCTGCCAGGGCTGGGGGAGCCAGGGCTGGCCAGGAGCCTGGTGCAGTTTTGGTCAACCTTCCGGAGTCTGTCCCACTGGGTGGGGCTGTGCTCTGAACTGCACACAGTGACGACAGTGGGGATGGGGTCAGGCAAGGCTGCCTCTGCCCAGTTCCCAGCTCCAGGCCCACCTGGCCTCCTCCCCACTGAAGCTGCAATGGCAACCTCAGGGACCTTCTGACTGCCCTTTCTCTGCCACATCTAGTCCCATCACCCGCCCCAGGTGACCTGAGGTATGCAAGCTTCTGTGCTTTGTGCTTCCATGGCTACTACCGGAGCCCCCCCCCCCACCCTGTCCCACTCCCCACTACGGGGAACGTGGACTGCCTGCAGAGACCCTGCCACAGGGGTCTGTATGCCCGCCTCCCTGCTGGGTGTGGTGGCTCGTGGCGGGCGGGTGGCCAGCAGGGGCAGAGCGTGGGCCTCAGGTGCGGCCGGGCCTGGGCTCTCATGCAGGCAGTGTGACCAGAATGTATGACGAATGTGTAAATTACAGGCATGCACCACAGGGGCACGCTGCCCCAGTCCCCGCAGGGTGCCCAGCCTGCTGCACACACACTGCCCACGGCGCCTGCCATTTCCCGAGCAGCTCTGGGTCCCCCTCCACAATCTCTACGAGGTGTGATCACAAATGCAGCCACCACTGCCACTTGGCGCCACCCAGGGGAAGGGCAGCTCGCTACCACGTCGCGTCCTCATCCCCGATTCACCAGATCTGACACCCAGCAAACTCTGGCTCTTCCCCAGAGTCCAGATCACGGCAAGAGGTTGAGGCTCTCAACAGACTCAGGACATCAAGGCAGCCACGACAACACAGCCAAAGACACGCAGGAAGGAGGGCTCCAGAGCTGCTTCGGACGGCAGCAACAATGGCGGGCGAGCACGCTCACTGCATGGCAAGGGGAGCTCCGGGGAGGTGCACGGCCATGCGTCCTTTACCACGTGAGGTTTGTAAACGTAACACCCAGTGTATTCTTTTTTTTTTTTTGACACAACCGGGGATTGAACTCAGGCCATTGTGCTTGCCAGGGAAGCGCTTATTCCACTGAGCCATCTCCCTGGCCCACACAGTGTATTCTTGATCACACCTCATCCACATGGATGGGCTCACAGGGAGGTGCGGCTGAGGCCTGAGCAGGACTGTGGCGGCCAGGCTGCAGGTGGACAGCAGCCCCTTCTGTGACTGCTAAGAGTGATCAGGGCTCCTGGGTCGGGAGAGGGGCAAGACTCAATCGCAGGAATTCCCACAGGAGCCAGCAGGTCCCCATCAGACATACGGGTTGGGCCTGCTTCCACTTGGACAGAGGGCAGGGGCACTGTCTGCCCCTGATGCCTCCAGGGCGCTGCCGGTACCAGCTGCACAGTGGGTACAGGGCTATGAGGGCAGACCTTGGAGCTCAGGCTGCATGGGACAGAGGAAGAGCGTGGGCTCAGGATGGCCTCCAGGGGATGCTCACTGCCCACTTCTGTCTAGAGCCCCAGTCCTAGGGATGCTGCCCTGCTAGGTGTGCTGTCACCCAGACCCTGGGATGAGACTGCAGCCTTCACCGGAAAGGCAGAGGCTTCTGCCCCTCAGGCCAGGAATCTAATCCAGCAGAGATCTGTTTCCCAGAAAGCCAGGAGTGCTGGTCCTGCTGCCCCTAGGCGGTTGGGCCCCACCGAGCCCAAGGGCTCCCTGAGGCAGTAGGCAGCCAGACCTGAGCTGCATCTTCCTGGGGCCCCTGGGGGTCACACAACCGACCTCCCACCCTGGGAGTGCCTCCAGCCCGTCCAGCCAACCAACCTGATGCCAGGCCTTGTCGCAGACCCACCCCCATGGCCGAAGCCCCCGCCGCACCCTGTGGTGGGCATCCAACCTGCCGGGGCCTGCTGGACTCACCATCACTAGCTCTTTCTGGAAGGACTTGCGGTCCTTGCTGTCGGGATTGTTGCAGTCCTCCTTCAGCTTCTCCAGCACGGATGCCACCCGCTCGGGCTCGCTGTCCAGCTCGGCCCGGCAGAAGAAGGCGAGCGGCAGGCCGCCATAGCCCAGGGCGTCAGCGAAGGCGCGCCAGCTGCTCACATTCTCCATAAGCAGCGTGCGTACTGAGGCATAGATGTAGGTGAGGAACTTGCAGGGCCGCAGCATCTGCTCCAGCAGCACCGACGTGCTCAGCTCAGGCCCCGCGCACAGGCTGGGCCGTGCCCTGCCCACCACCAGCACATTCTTGGCATGCACCAGGCCCACCTTGCCCTGGCAGTAGCCGATGTACCACTCCTTGGTCCACAGCTGGCCGCGCAGCCGGACACGCTCCTCACTGAGCAGGGCCACCACGTCGCCCTTCTTGTACTCCAGCAGGTACTGGTTCTTGTTCTGCCGCACCACAGTCTTTAGCAGCTTGCCGAACTTGAGGCTGGAGACAGGGCGGTCCTGAAATGTGGGGTACTTGGTGGTGGCGGCGAAGGGGGACAGGATGATCTTGCCCACCTCATTCTTTTTAAGAAACCTCCTCTGGCCGGATGGCTTGATGGCACTTTTGGGGGGCGGCTGCGGTGTCTGCACACAGAACTGGGTCAGGATGGTCTCCTGGTCATCTTTGACCTGCACCCTCAGTGTGAAGTCAGACAGCTCGCCAGGGCTCTGCGAGGTGATAGGGAAGATCAGGCGGCTCACCTTGCCCAGCTTCAGTTGGAAGCCCCGTACCACCTTGGCCTGCTCACTGGCCCTGACCTCGTAGTTGGTCATGTTGGAGAACATACAGACTTTGAGGTCCTGGGGCCGGGCCAGGACGAACTGGTGCTTCCCCCACAGCTGCAGTGCCACAGGGGCCAGGCCAGGGGCCTGCCGGGTGACCTCGCTGACCAGCAGGGTCTTAGGGGCGCAGTCATGCCCGAAGATGGTCACCACAGTCTTGAAGGATGGGTGGATGTGTTTGGGGCCATAGAGGCCCACAGTGACCTTTTTATTGATGAAGTCCCACACAGTGGAGGGGTAGAGAATGCTGGGGCCGCAGGCGACGATGGCCAGGTACATGCAGGGCTCCAGGTTGTCCAGCTGCACCTGGACGGTGTCTCCGTAGCTGTAGCTGAGGGGGGTGGGCACATATGGCCCCTCCTTCGAGTCGCTCCTCAGGCACTGGAGACCCACGGTGCTTCTGCTGACAACGTCACCCTTCACCTCCGCAGACACCTTCATCTCCAGGATGAGGAATGTGTTCACCTCCAGGTTGCTGAGCTTGACCTCCAGCATGGGGCTGATGCTGCTGGACTTGTCGCTGTTGAGCTCCAGCGGGGGGTCCAGGAGTGCCTTCAAGGAGATCTGCTGCATTTCCCCGGGGGCAACGTGGCCCTCGGGCACGAGGATGCTGATGTTGGTGTCCGGCAGCTGTACGGCACCCCCAGAACTGTCCAGCTTGCACACGATGTTTGTCTCCACCGCCTGTGTCTGGCCCCAACCCGGGCTTTGGCCCAGCAGGTCTAAGTCGTGGCAAGACCGGGCCAGCTTCCGGTGGTTCAGCCACGCAGTTCGAAAATCCTCCCGGCTTTGAAATTGCTCGGGGGCAGGTGACTTCAGGCCTGTGAAAAAACTGGATGCAGCGGGAGTGTCTGACTTGGCTTGAAGGACGGAGAGTTCTGACAGGCTGTAGGAACGCTTGCTTCTGAAGAAAGGGTTGTCCCGCCTAACCGGCTGCTCTATGTGGAGTCCATTTGTGGCCGGGAGCTCTTCAAAGATGTTGCCGGTGCTGTTGGTGGTCGCTGAGCTGGACTCAGTGAATGAGGATGCGCCGGTATCGAAGAGCAGCAAGTCCACAGCGCTTTTGGGGCTCAGCTCATCTAGGCCGGCCACCACTGGCACGTTCCCATTCAGAAATGGGTTTGTCTGGACCCCGTTCCAGAAAGGGTTGTTACTGTAAGCTTTGCCGGATTCCTTCTGGTCGTCCGTCCACCCCCCGAGCAGATCCAGCTCCTTGGCGACCTCATCCGGGCTGTCCGGAAGGTTGTCAATCATGCCACTGTCGCTCAGGGTGGAGTTCCGGTAGTTCAAGGGCTGCACATAGGAGGAAGGGATGTAGCCCATCTCGGTGTTGTTGTGCGCGTACCACCACTCGCCGCCCGACGCATCCAGCACGTACAGGTGGTCACCCTTGGAGAACTTGAGGGTGGTAAAGTTGCTCGGGCGGTAGTCCTTGATGGCGATCACTTCCTTGGCGTTTCCAAATGGCGTGGGGCTGTCCACGAGCAGGGCAGTGGGGGAAGGCACTGCGAAAGGCACAGAGGGACAGGTGAGGCCACTCCTGGAACAAGTGCGCTAATCACCAGCGGCCACCGGCTGGGAAGGTGACCAGCCAAAGAAGGCCCGCCTCAGTGGAATTCCAGGCAAGCGTCGCCTGGCCAGCAGGCTGGACACTGCATAGCGCCACTGCCCTGTCACCTGCTCACTCGCCAAGTCGGTGGGGGGTCTGTCAACCTCCCACAGAAAGGCAAAGCAGACTAGGGGTCAGCGAACACATCTCTGTATTCAGAATATCTTTATTTCTATTAACTTATTTTTAAAATTCTAAGACAGGGTCTCATTATATCTCATTTTCTTTATGTAGCTGCTTCTTAGAATTGCGTTTTGAAAATCTTTTATTTATTTGGTACAGGGTCTCACTACACAGCTCAAACTCGCACTGACCCTCCTGTCTCGTCCTCCACAGCGCTGGAATTACAGGCGTGAGCCAACATGCCCAGTTTCAGTGGCCAGCTCAGTGCTCTGGGGCCTGTGTGGAATGCCGTACTGGGGATTGAACCCAGATCCTTGTGCTTGCCTAGGCAGGCTCTTATCTCCCAGCCCCCATAATTGTTCTTACATAGCACAGAGGCTGAGCACATGATTCTTAGAAAACACAGTGGCATTAGGAGTTAAGCCACGCCCTGGATGTAGCTGGGAACTGGAAATAAGAGGCCACAGATCCATCTCGGGGTGGCTGTGTGAGCGGATTCCTGACTCTCCTCCCATGGAGAATGCAGGGATGGGGACACGGCTCCTCACCAAAGTATTTCTGAGCTGAGTGATGGTGTGTGTGCTCAGTCTCTTTCCATTTGTTCCAATCGATCAAAACCACAGCAGGGAAAGGGACGGTCCTATGGCATCGAGTGGTTCAGGTCTGGGCAGGGATCCTGGGCCGTGGGTCATGCATTACGTTACAGTTTGCCCAGCCGAAAACACCACCACTTCAAAAATGAATTGACTTAACCTGTGCCTCTTGGCTTTAGGCTACGACCATCACGACCACTGCTGGCAGCAAGCCTTGTCTGCGGACATTTTGGCTTCCAGGACCACGTATGGAAAGGAAGGACACTTTTGTTTTTGATATAAATGAGCAGAGGAATGACTTTTTGGTTGAATGGAACCTTCATCTGCTCCAATGTGTGGTTAAGTAAACAGCTATTTTGTTCTGCCACACTGGCTGGCCTAAAAAATAAATAAATAAATAAATAATAATAATAATAATAATAATAATAATAATAATAAATCGACCATACCTGCCCGTTTCCTTCTTTCTTTGAAAGGGAACAACAAAAACTGAATCCTAAGTACTTGGCAGAGTCTTAGCAACAATAGGAAATTTCCACACCTTTCCATTCCTGAGGTGACAGCTGCACTGCTGAGCATGCACCCCACCCTCCTGGGGAGCCACCTGAGCCCTCTGCCTGAGGGCTTTAGCTCCTGGTTCTGGGGCCACAAGACCTGGGTCACAGTTGAGGTCCCTAGAGCCACAGTCCCTAGAGCTCTGTGGCCGCGGGAGCCTGCACTTCTTTGTGGAGAAGCACCTTTCACGGGCTGCAATGTGGTGGATTAGGGGTCCAGCGCACGGTACTCAGCTCATGGTAACAATCGGGAAAATGTACCCGGAAACCAACCCCCCCAGCTAATTTTCTCCTCATCTCTTACATAGGGGCAACAGGAACTATCGCCTCCAACTCTGAAGGTTTACTGGAGAAAAGAAAGATTACATAGAAAGAAAAAGGCACAACTTATTAATGTACAAAAGGGGGAGGTCTGGGTAGTCCAAGATTACTTAGAAATGTAAATGACGCTTTCTGTGGAGAAGCAGAAGGGGAATGCAGGACTTGCCTCTGGAGGGAAGTAGCGAACGACTCGTGGAGACGCCCAGTGGGCTTGAGGAGCACACCCTCACGGCTTGGGACTGTGTGTGGCTCTCAGAATGACACTGGTTTGTGCATGATTCTCTGCTGGGTGGATGTAGAGGACAGCGGCACGTGGCAAAGGCCTGCGTGTGTTGGCAGCCTGCCTCCCGCTGTGAGCTAGGTGGACATCCAGCTCTCATGGCGTGCGGGTGGAGGTGGGGAGGGAAGTCTTTCCTCAGTCTACCGCCCTCCAGCCTCCCCGAAGGCCACTGCGCCTGCCTGCCGGCCCAGACTTCTCCATTGCTATCAACCACCTCACTGGGTGTCTAGTGGGATTCAAGATACGGGACCCCAGATTCTGCTGCAGGATCCTGAGTCTTGGCACCTCCAGAGTCCCTGGGGCAGAGCACTCAGTCCTGGACACAGAGGACCCATTCAGGACACTTGGATCCTGCCACAGCTGGCAGGTCCACACCTCTCTCCCTCTCCGCACGCTTCAGTGAGCCTGGGTGGCAGCCCTCATCTCATCCTGGAATTCGGCTCTGCAGTCCCTCACAAAGTCTCCTGTGTCAGGTGAGACACCTGCTAAAGTGATGGCTGACCTGTCTTTGTTAAGTACAGAGGCCCAGCCTAGCTGGGTAGAAGAGAAAGATAGCTTTCCTCTGGTGCACCCCCTGGATTCTTCTGTTCACATGGGGAGGGCGGTGCCTTCCTTCTCCCCCATTAGCTCCTAAGCTCCAGGAGCCCATGTTGCTCGTGGCGTGCCCAGGAGGGTCATGCAGGCGTGTGGTGCGTGGAGAGGAGGGGCATGCTCAGTGCACAAAACGCAGAGGCCGGTGCCCCAGCTGGGCCTTCTGCAGAGATGAATCTATCATCTAGGGAAGGGGAGGGAACCAAAGTGGCAGTGAAAGAGGCCAGTGTGGGGCAGTTCCAGCACTGCCCTCTCAAGCTCCACTACTAGCGTTGCTGGAATCAACTGGCTAAAACAGATCAGCAGGAGTAAGGCACCGGACTAATGGATTTGCTAACTGCAGCTTCCCAGCGCATGCCTCCAGATCCAAGACCAAAGGCTTGCGGTGAACGATCCATCGCTGTGTTTGGGCTCGGTGGACACGGGCAGCTGTGTAGGAAGGGCCTGAATGCAAGGTGTGCGGGCCCCGGGGACTGTGGGAGAGGATGTCTGCCCCGGCTCCTCTGGGCCCTGGCTGCATGCACCCCTCTTTACCCCTGCATGGGGTGGAGCCTCTGAACTAAGGCCTGGACTTCTGCACAGAAGGGCTTGGAGACTCAGGGCTGGCCGTGGGAAAGGAGGCTCTGGTCTTCCCACCCTACTGTGGGAAGCAGAATTCTAGTTGCTGTGAGGTGAGGGGTGAGTGATGGGAGGGACAGGAAAGGGCCAGAAGGGGTTTCTTTTGGGGTGTCACTTTCTGAACCTCACGAAGAGTTTGGGGGAGAAGTGGGGACAGGGACCCAGGCCAAGTGAGGTGTGTGGATGCAACGCAGGCCCTTTGCTCTCATTTCTATGGCTGGTCTTAGCCTAACTGCTTTGTTTCTTTGACACATCTACTGGAAATAGAGATTAAAAACCAAATGAAAATTAAATAAACTTGTCAGCCATTAAAATCATGTTAGAACACTCCAAAGTTATATCCCTATTATGCTCCTCCAGAGTAATTAATTCCTTTATAGTATTATCTTCAAATTTTAAAAACCTAAAGCAATTAAGCGTGCTTTGTACACAGCCGAAAATGTATCAATGCAAATCACCATTGCAGATTCACCAGACCAAAGAACAACAATGGTTTCCTTGGAATTCTAAGTGGTCTCCTTGGAAGAGGCGTGGTCTTGCACATCATCGCTCAAGGACAGGCCCCTCAAGGAAAAGAGCCCTCTTCCCCTCAGGGGTGGCCTGTGATGTGACCACACCTCAGCCACCTTGATTTTAATACAAAAACTCCCTGCATTAAGTACAAGTGAAGTGCACTGAATAATTTTTACCCCTCAGCCTGAGTTTCATGCAGGCAAAGCATTCCCAGGGCAGAAGACTTCAGAGCAGGTGCTGTGGCTAGGAGTCCTCCTCCCCTTGAAGTCTGTCGCAGGAGGATGTCACAGGCCACAGACTTCTGACGCTGTGAGCCGGGATGCTGCCTGGGTCCCTCACTGGACCTGGCATCGGGGTCCAAAGGTAGGAACAGGCTGAGACCCCTTGGCTCTGGGGACCTCAGGTTCTCAGACACGCCCTCGATCAGTGCCCTGGTGTCCTCTGGTTATTACGATTACTTTGTAAAATCCAGCTCCAAGCTCCTCACTTGAGGACCCTGACCCAAACCACACAATTCATGTTCACCGCCTCTGACTCGTTGGGTAAAGAAAAGGTTGCCCCGCTAACAGATCACCATAGAGAAATAGTTGGGGCATTTATAGCAAGCCACAACCTTTGTTGCTATCTTAGAAAACCCGTGGTTCTCTCACTGCTCTCCTGAAGAACACTGAAAGCAAAGTGATGTGCAGCCAGGAACAGGAAGGGAAGGTGCCAGGGACATGGGGAAGGGGCAGCTAATCAATGCGAAAGGTGCAGACCGCCAGAGGGCCACGCGCTGATTTGGGGACTTAAGTTTTGTTCTAGAAGCATTTATTCCATACTGAGTTCATGACACCAGCGAAGGACAAAAGGCAAAGTCTGCTGCTGAGCTGTGTCCTCACGCCCTATTTCTGAGGTTTCTCCCTCGCACCAAGCTCCCTCCCCATAGCATCTAGCTGCTGGGGCTACAGATGGGAGCTGTCAGGAGGCGGGGCCTGTGAATGGGGCGTGGCCAGGGGCGGGGCCTAGCAGGCTCCTCCCACGGCTCCCTCTGCTTCCTGCCTCTGGGCCTTACCAGCCTGCCGTGGAGGCAGCCCACTGTGGACTGAAACCCCTATAGCCCATGAGCCGAAATAAACCTCTCCTCCTATAAATCATGTGTCCAGTATCGTGTTCCACTCACTGGGAAGGAAGGTGACTATGGCGCTGTCCCCAGGACCCTTCAAGAGAAAATACAGATTCTTCACGGGGTTGGTTTCCTTACTGAGGGGAACATTCAAACCCAGACATCCAAAAATAAGCCAGAGGGCCATAGTTCCAGGGCTGAGCTTACCACACGGGAGGCTGAGGGAGCCCAAGTGTCATGCTCTGAACGTGAAGCCAGTGTACTGCGAAGCACGGACGCCACGCACTCCCAGCCCCACTCAGCCAGGTGCCACTCACCTTTGACATCATTAAAGCTCGTCTCTGAAAACCCCTCACTCAGGTCGATCAGGGTCCCCTCCGACTTGCACCGGGGGAGGCCACTGGAGTTGGCCGCCCGGATCCGCTGGGCCGCCATCCTGCACGGCTGCCTGCCCTCCCGGGCGCTAGGGTCTCATGCCGCCTCCGCCTCACTCCACACTGGCTGCAGCTTCCTGCACGGCAGCGGCACCTTGGCACTGTGCTCCCTCCTGAAACGAGAAAGGGGCAGGAGGACCTTCCCTGAGCACAGCTTGCAGAGTGCTTTAGAGGAGGGGGGCACCTCTGCACCAGGCGTTCCTCGGCTCCTGGCGAGGAGCAGAGTGCGGTCACTGGCTGTGCTGCGCTGGCTCCTGGGCTGCCTCCCAGCCTGGCCTGCTGCACACACCACTGCCCTTCCCCGGGCACGGTGGGGTCTGTGCACAGTGCTCCAGGTATGGCTGCCAAGGGGAGAATAACACAAGGCTGTACGGTGCACCAGCTCCAGGCATGGGCAGGAGCAGTGCGGGCGACGGAGGGGGCTCCCTGGCCACACGGGCCGGACTCTCCCTCGCCAGTGCAGTAGTGTGGCTGCAGGTGCCTGCGATGGGGCGTAGGGACAGCCATTAGGCACTGAGCCCAGGGTGTGCTGAGCCCTGCTGCTGCTGACAGACCAGTGGAGACGGATTCCACGGGGGACCACTGGTTTGGGGGGAGGGTGCGCAGGACTTGGGGGTGTGGGTGACTGCTGTTGGGTGGACCCTTTCTTGGGGCCCTTGGAGTGGAAGAAGGATGAGCTGAGAGTGGATTTCAAGTAGTGGCTTTCCCACACTGTCCAGCAGAAACAGGCATGCACAGATCAGCTGGCCCACAGTGCAGGACTGAGGGTGAGGTGACCGTCACCCCATATAACTGGGCTCACATAAATGTGAAGAACGAGGAAGAAAAGCCCGGGAGGCAGTGAACAGGTGTGCCAACATGGTGGTGAATGCTGGGGCCACCCCAGAGGCAGGCCTCAGCTGAGAACCGACAGACTGGGGCTTGAGGGGGCTTGCTTTGATTGCAAGGCCCAGAAGGGGTCACTCCTGGGGACATGGAGGACTCTGGGTGGGACCTGCTCAAGTGCGCTGCGGTTTGCCCCTCCTGTATCCTCCAGCTCCTCCCATCAGAGCGGAACTGCCCCCTCAGCCACCCTTAATCCCACAGGGTTCCGGCTCCCAGCCAGGAAACAGGGCTGAACAAGCCCAGGGGGGTGCACTCGCTGGCGCCTGGCAGTGCTCCACGGTGTGGCCTCACTTAGCCCTTGCTTTGCTCCACAGACCCAGCATTGTTGCGCTGGACACCTGCGGGCCAGGGCCACAGGGCGCTGGGGTCGACAGCCCTGCTCGGAGGTGGCCACAGACAAGCGAAGTCTGCAAGTGACTCAAAGGTCTGTCTGCTAGGGATGAGGCCAGAGCCGCTGCCCTAAGCCAGTGCTGGGCAAACCCGAGGCATCAGTGGCTCTTCACAGACTCTGCTGCCCGCCTCATTGACCCCTTCTTTCCAGAGCTGGAGCTCACTGTCGCTGCCAGCGGCTTCAGGTCCTGAATCTCCTGCCATCTGGCCTCATGCGTCCTCAGTTTTCCCAGGGAGTCCTCTGAGGTCACGCCACTTTCCTGCTAAGAGCTGCACTGCTGCTCACTGCCTTTAAAAGGCCCCGTGCTCCTCCCCAGCGAGGTGCACTCTCCACGTGACTGCACCTGGCTTCACCCGCACCTTCTAGGCCTATTGCTGCTTTCCCTGGGTCAAGCTTCAGATCTGACTTCTCCGGTCCAAGCCGTGTCTGCTCTCCTGCTCTTCCAGGAACCTCTGGCTTGCCCCATATGATCCCTGGGCTCCGCCTGCCTCCCCAGGCCTCTGGATTTCAGAGTTTACACAATGTGATGTAATTTATGAGCTGGCCAGGACTTGCAGAGCCATCACCCCGGGGCCTCTGGTCTGCATTGCCAGGCACCGCGCCCTCCCGTCCTCTGCTTTATTAGAGAAGCAGTGTTGGATGATCCATGCCACTGAGTCCCTGAAGGCTCACCACGCTGCTTTCTGTATTTGCGCACATGCCCCCCGATGGCCACAATTAGCCATGTCTGAAGACCAGGAACCACAGGAGCAAATCTGTAATTTGCTACCTTCTTAGCCTTGTGGAATGGGTGAGGTGTGGCCAAGAAAAGCCTTCAGGAGCCAAAAACCCTGTGCTCAGGCACCTTGTACTCTTCACAGGGAGAAGGGACCTCTGAACCCCTATTTGGATACCTGATGACTGCACCAAGATCTCTGCTTCTGTGCCGAAGAGTACGCTGGATTTCCCAGGCCCAAATCCAGCCCCTGGGATTGCCTCAACCTATGCCACCACTTTAGTCCTAGATAGCTCCATTCAGTCAGCTAAAAAGTGAGACACATGCAGGTGCACATGCACATGCAGGCACACACACACGTGCACACATGCGGACACACGCATGCATGCGCACATTGCCCTGGCAGCCTACCCTCCACCTGACCCTTCCTAGCACCTGCACACCACCATCACTGCTGCTCAATTACAGTAATCAACGCCTCCTTAGGGCCGCCACTGACTAGCCCTGCACCTCGCAGTCCACCCCTCAATCAGCAGCCAGACACTCCAAGGCCTCTATTTAAACCCCAAGACTTCTGAGCTCCCAGGGTGTGCTTACAAAGCCTCTGGGCTCTGCACCATGGCCCCTGCTGTCTCTCAGATCCATTTCCTGCCGGTCTCTCCCTCCCTGCACCCATTCTGCTGTGCAGAGGCACTGAATCCCTCCCGCCAGAGCCTCTGCACCCCATTCCCCACCAGCCTGGAAAGCACCCCCCCCCGCCCCATCCAAGCCCCCACAGACTCAGCCTCTCATCCATCCAGGGGCCCAGCTCCAGGCTCACCCACCCTGCCTGCAACCATTTCTCATCAGCACTAGAAACCAACTCTACCTCTTGCCCCATCCCCCTTGGAATGCAACCGTTCAGCCTGTTTTTTCTTGCAGGGCTGAGATGGACCTGTGCAGACCCAGCTCTCGGATACGAAGGAATGGATGCTGCAAAATACAGAGCAACAGCATGGCAGTCTCCAGGATCTCTGGGGTCATCTTTAAGGAGAGAAGTGGCCAAAAGGACTGGATCGTACACAGCAGGCCAAACTCAGGAATGCTGCCCTGCTCCATACTAATTACATACAGGTCACTTAAGTGACTGCCTGGACATTCCAGGATGGCCTAGTGCTACAAGCACTGCTGCCTCTGCTTACCAGGCCCTGGGCCACACGCCGGACACAGCAGCTCCCCGCCAATGTTCCACCCTGGGAAGCAACTGCACCATAGAATGGGCCAGAGGAGGAACCTGTACAGAACGCGGTCTCGTGTGCACTCCTGCGTGCCGCACAACACACGGGCAGCACTGGTGAAGTGCGGCCTGAGAACGCCTCTCACGGTCCCTCCCTGGCCAGCTCCAGTGCTGCCCTCAGAGTCCTCTCCATGGCTGGTTGTGACTTCCAGAGCCCCACTCTGGCTTCAGCACATCTCCTGCTGCCTAACACAACAGTGCGTTTCAAAGGGCTCTGTGAGCTCCACTGCCATCCTCGGCTGAGGGAGTCTTACTGCACTGTCCCCTTGTCCACCCCATCTTGTGCCCCATGGAACAGGATGTTCAGGGAATGTCTGTTTCTACAGGGTCACTTTAGGGGAATTAAGGAGCCAGCTAGTGGTACCTAGCTACCTCTCCTGCAGTGACCGTAAAGCCAAGGAAATTTGCCTTGAGTCTGGGCCCAGCTGGCCTCAACAATGATCCTGGCCACCTGCCCTGTGATGGGACGTCCACCAGTGGTCCGCAGGGTCTTTGAATCTTGCCCCCAACTGTGGTGGGGCATTAGCAGCCAAATGTGGGCACATAGCCATCAGCCCCTTTTCCCAGTGCCCCTCCAGGGTGTGTTCAGTGTCCAGGCCCTGAGCCAGAGGAAGGGGCATCTCCAGTGCCACTCCTGCCTGAATGATCATACTGGTCACCCTGGTGAACAGCACTGAGCACCAGCTTCTAGGAACCAGGTCTGTGATCAGCACTGGGGACAGAAACCACGCAGTCTATTTCCAGGAAATGGGTACCTGAGACATGCGGAGAGCATGGGACTCTGATGGCAGGGAGCTTGTGCACTCCAGGACAGCTAGCCAGAGACAGCAGGGGCTGTGAGGGGCCAGCACAGGACAGGACCAGGAAATCTGAGTGGGGGGGTTCACCTGACTGTGGTGGGGACAGGAACCGGACTTCAGGGGCGGCCCCTCTGTCTGCACCATGCTGGCTGCAGGGTCACTGCGGCAGCACGTGGGCTGACGGCATCACTTCCTCACAGCCTGACAAGCACAGGGATGACTGGGACTTCACGGCTCCAGCACTGGCTGTGACTCCCCTTTTCTAGAGCCCTCAGAGCTATTCTGGCTACAGCACAACCTTCCTGTCCCAGACAGGGACCTCAAATCAGTGCCTTTGCAAAGGGATACCACCTCTGCTCAGTGCCCCCAGGAACCCCGTGCATTCTGTGGGTCCGCCCTGGGACTCCCCAGCACTGGGCCCCGAGGGCTAAGCACCCAGCACAGAGCACAGAGCACAGAGCACTGAGCACTGAGCACAAAGAACAGAGCCCAACACTGGGGGAGCTCGGGCCATCTGCTTGGTCAGCACCACACCACACCCCAGGGGGGTATGGGGGACCTGGCCCCTTCGGTCCGCTGCTTATCATCAGCTGGGCAGCACAGAGCAGGGCTTCCTGAATGTCTTCTGGAACACGGGAGACAGGATGCTCAGAGACACCCCATGTGTTGGCTGTGCCATCTGTGCCCTGGTGGGCACCATTCATCTGTGCCCCTCTGTCCCTTCACCCCCCTGCTTAAGACATGTGGGGTTCAGAGACAAACCCATGCAGGCCACCTGAGTGCCCACCAAGCGTGGGATAAATAGGCTGCTCGAGTCCACAGTGGTTTGTGGTCGGCCTCGAGTCAGCCACCCTGTGATGCAGCCGCCAGCAGACAGGCTGGACAGGAGGTCTTGTGATCAGCCGGGCCACACAGGCTTCCCAGCTGGTGCGCAGCCAGGCCAGAGCACAAAGCCCTCTGCGGTCTGCAGCTGCCGCCGCGTGCTCCAGGCCCTTTCCTCGGATTGGGCTGCCAGGGCTCCTGACTCTGCGGACACCTCGCTCA